TTGTCCACGCTCCTTCTAGAACCCAGTTTAAGGCATTATTAGACATTTATTTATGCGAATCCTCGCGCTGGCAAGCATACTGCCCCACTCTCAGAACATAAAGAGCAGTGCTACACCCTTTTCTCACTTGTGCCTTTCAGACGAACGACAGATGCTGACCGACAAGAACAAAACCGACCCGGGGAACTTGAGCAGAAGCCTCGATCCTGTGTATCAATCCGTGAATCCGTGAACTAAGAGTACGTCCTCGGTGGCATGGCAACGAGCAGCGCGTCGGCGGGTACACGATGTGCACTTGGATTCCTACCCTTTTGTAACTGCGACGAATCTCGTACACAACGTTGGAAAAGTATGTGTCTCACAGAATGAACTACACTTAATTAATCCTGAATTTCTGAATGGGTGTCAATATTACATTCTCTTTGAACAATCGAGGATACTAATGCCAGCTCGAAGCCGCAATGGTCATGAAAGTTTTAGAGGACACCACGAGTACTCGGTTGATCTTTATTGGCAGTAAATCTGTGCAAATGTTTTCCTGTCATTGTTCTAGTCACTCCATTGTTCGAGGATCACAAATGGCTGCTTAATGAACACCGTAGTTGCTAACGAGCCAGGCTGGCGCAAGATATTTAGTCCTTCTTTTCTGATACCTAGCATGTGGGGGACTAGCCGTGACGATAAATAATGAAAAACATTAATTCGTATGTATTTTGAACCTACGGTCAAAAAAGGTGGGACTAGTTCTCTGTTAATTTTCCCGCTTGTGGAGTGCTCCCCATGTAGATGTCAGTACCTATTTTAAAAAATTCGCCTTTGTGCACTTGATGGCACTGAATGAAAATTCATTCCAACACTAAGAAGCTTTGAGTAACAGTGTCTCATTTTGGGAGAGGGTCCCGTGGTGGCCCTCGTCATCCATCTATTCATGACTGTGGAATGCCAGACTACGTGGATGTCGAATTTGGAAAGTAATCTTGATTTGCTTGTAAGGTGTTTTTGTTTTTTTGCCAAAAAACGCGAAATGGGGTAAAGCGCTTCTTGTTTTATGGCGGCATTTGCAGAGGATAAGGTGAATAAAGGCCATTTGGGCCGGTGTACCAGCCAGTTCATCGGCATTAAATGACCCATTTCGTCGGCTATGGCATGAAGTGAGGGATGTAGGACGTGAATTCAGCAGCTTTGATGTCTGATTTTCACTGACTGCGTGATGGTCATGTCTGTCAGGGTCACTGATGATTGGCTTGTTCCGTCCTGGGATTGCACATAGGGGAAATGTAGTTCCCACTACCGCTGTTTTGACTGATGATAATTTTCGTGAGCGGTTACTGAGCCATAGGATAACTACCTCTGGCTCAGCAAGGGGTGGAAGTGTAAATATAATATCTGCTGTTAGGGGACAGAATTACAGCTGGTAAAGTACCAGCACCTCTGGCCGTCAGCCTTAAGGCGGGGTCATTTTGCACAACTAATGTATTTAATGTTGTTCACGTTTCTTTCTATTGGAAGGAATATATCAAATGGAAAAGTGTTCGAATACAAGTACGGAACGTCCACTCAGCCATATTATGTGGCTCGCCCATCTTCTATTACTCTAGCCCGGACGAACAAAGGGTCACGACTTCAAGCCTTAATCAAGGCTAATGGATATGCTACCTTAAATCTATTGACTTCCGAGACAAGTGTTGGTGGACCGGAAAGGAAGTGAATCACCTCCAGTTTAGGTGGACTATGCTCAACATTCAAACCTATGTTTGGCTAAATGCAACAGCCAAGAAGGGAGAAGTGCCAACGCCAAAAGCTTAGAATGCACGATACAATAAGCACAACGAGTCAACAACCAGATGAAGCCGGTTGTGTTCTATAAAGTACTCAAGCCCCATTAAATAACAGAAGGTTTGACATTTGGCCAACAAAACGTAGAGATACGGATTAAGAAGTTCAAAGATGTCAGCTCTCACAGTGTTATATTGCAGGTTTTAATCCATCGAAGACTGATGGTGGATGCTATCAATCCTGTTGGTGTTTGAACTTCAAACACTCTGGGATATAAATCTAAACACCGTGCTGTGTCTCGTAGGATGTGCTAGCACCGGCATAGTCATCATGCGCAGACGGTTTGTGTTGTCTTAGAATCCAATACGCAGCAACATTTATAATCACTGTTGGTCGTTTGATCTGCCGCGCATAAAGTAACCTTTATTGGTTAGCTGTCGGTGAAAAGGTAGCAAACAAGCATCCATAAAAAAGTTTTCGTCCAATCTACCAAATTAAAATAATAAAAAAGATTTGACATATATAAATCAACTAAATTAATAGTCCTTTCTGTCCGGGAAGCCAAGCGATTCTTATAAATTTGTTTTTACTTCAAAGGCCAAACTTCAAAAGGGTTTTCCGTGATATTTTCTGAGTAAAAAAATCAAGCTAAATAAGCTAACCAGTATTCACAGACTACATATTAGTTTACTCGTCTGCGACTGCATCCAAACTACTAGGTTTCTACGCTTGTACCTGTAGACCTCTGATAAAGACGGTTGTGCACAGATCTGCCCTGTGTCCTTAAAGCCATACACTTTATAATTCATCCTAGACTAAGTTACTTTTCGTTAGAACAAAAGCGGCCTAATTTTTCGTAACAAAACGGTTACAGTTGTCACACATCAATGGTGTAGATTAGTGAAAACGAAAATTGACGTCTAGGAGTTACTAAACCAGAGCAAATCTACTGTAAGTTATGACTTTTTATAGTGAACTCAGAAAAGTCTCAAATACACCATTAGTTCGTTTATTATTAATCACCTAAACCGCCGCAACTAAGCACGGAAATTTGTGCTAACAGCCAGTAATATGTGTCAAAGTAAGTAAATTTGAGGTGCTCTCTATGTACGTCTCTGGAGCACCTGGTCCTCCAAATATATTAACTCGCAGCTAACGCTTACTATTGAAAAAAACACGCCTTTTGGTTCAAACATAGTCAACAACTTGAGCCTCACATTTTTAAATTGGCATGAGGCTTTTAGTTGAGGATTAATAACAGCTCAGAGTAGGGAGACTTGGTAATAAAAAATGCCTAACTCCATAAGCCGAGAGTAATCGTCGCGGTTCTGTGTGATTTACAAATTAAAGTTAACGTGTTTTACCAGTTTGTACGGCCTTTGTTAGTATCAATATCATTCTAAATGGATATTGATCTGGCGGCTGTTCAGAGGGTACAAATCATCTGAGAGGCTCAACTGAGGCTCTTTCTGGATATCAAAGATTGCCCATAATTGACAATTACCAGTGTTTTTCCACTAGTTCTATTCTTCTCACACTTTTCGCTTAGCGTTATGCAGTTTCCGTAGCACATGTTTCACATCACTGCATACAGTATATTGCTAATAAATGCACACTATGGGCCCATATGTAACCAGTTTTAAGCTGTTATCCAAGAAATTTAATTATATCAGTTCAATAACTGATTTTTTGCGCGCCAAGAGTCTATTAGACACCCGCGAATAAATGGTTTATTATTAGCAAAAATAAAGTCAGTAATTTTTTATAACCGTCGAAAAAATTTAAATTTCAGTGTATTTAAGTAAAACTGCAAAGGACCTTGCTGAGGCGTAAGGCAACCAGCTATGCTCCCACATACAACATGCGACTCTTATTATGCTTACCTTTTGACGTTTCATAATTCATTCTTGTTCGGTTCTCTTTTAGCCAAAAAATACTGTTTTGATAGAAAAGAAGAGGAAACTAGGAGTTCTTACAAGCTACACACTTGCCGACGTTTTACCACTGCAAAAATTAGCGTGGGGCTATTTTTTGACGGAGCACATTTTTCATACGTTTTCTGCATAATGGTTGACTCTTTGGTTATCATGAAAGAGAGGATAACATGGGTCTCCCGTTAACATCCAGCTTAGTTGCATGTGAGTATATCCTTCCATTGCATAGAGCCAGTTTCTTCTTACGTCTTTATATCTGGATCACATAACCAAATTGTCACTACTTGGCAACAGCAAGTACAAAACACTTTGTGTGGACTTCAAACCTAGTCCAATGAAATAAAAGTACACGATGTTGTCCGCTCGACTGCACACGTAAATAAAGGACTGATTCCTATTTGTGCCCTACAGTTAATTAAAAAGCAGTGTTTCGTTTTTACCGGTAGGCTCTTTTTGTGGGGTCTCAAAACAATTGAGGCTTTGTGAGAGCTTACTTCATTAGTTTCATCCAAGAAATTTATTTGTTTCACTAGCCTAATGACCACCGTGCAAAAATCTATTTACACCAAACCTAGTAGTGAGGCTAAAGTTAACCAACAAATGAAGGTAAAAATCCCGGAGTTGATCATACTGCTCTTTGTGTTCTTGTATTTACCCAGCTTGCCTAGAGCGCAATTGAAAAATCATCCAGCATCCTCCAATTTTGCCATTATTTGCTAACTAAAGCGCAATAAAATCGGACAATTATTACGTTTTTGATTATACTAATTCGATTTTTGAGAAATTAAATTTTCTCTAATAAACTAGAGGTTGTGCTGATGAAAGTGATGAGAAGTTTGTGTAAGATTTCAGCTTTTTTGATAGACAGCAAAGCTATATTCAACGGGTGCGAGGCACCATTTGATCAGATATATACATGCGTCTTGGCAGGAGTGCCTTGAAAGACTATGTATTATCGCTGTTTGGAGAGTTAACACATACCAGTTGATTACGAGCTGCCCGTGTACTTCATTCTCTAACGCTTTCGGCCACAGTACATGACAGCAACACTGTTGTACAGCGGTGAGGACAATGAAAAATTGTCATTTGTACAGAATTCTACTAAACCATGTCATTTCGGTCGACCTTATTGTGCAGCAACAGAATGTTTAAGCTACGTAACTCATTGATTATCATTTTGCGATGTCAGAAAGCCTCTTAATATTGGTAATAGAAGGTCGTGGTGATAGCAAATTTAAATGACGTTCGATAAGTGTATGTAGGCAAATTCCGTCAAAATTCAAATTGAAAAGCTAAACGATTAGCTGAAACGTTCTTTATTTCAGGCAAACAACTAACCCTAGAAAACAGAACTAATAGAGATAAAATGAAGGAACGCAAAAAAGCTATAATTCTAACCGATAAAGATAGAATTCTTGTACTCGAAATCCGTTGGCTCAATTCAACAACAACGCGATCTGGTATTTTTGGAAATGTACTTTCAATATAATAGCACGGCTGGTTTTGATTAGATTTCTCCTGTGCCTTCTTAATATCTTTTTGTAACACGAGCTAATGTGTAAATCATGGTTGCATGGCGCAAGGAACATGTGAAATATCGATTAAGTTTCTGTGTAGAATGCGATCCGCTTGCCTTAAAGGTATAAATTTTTAACCACGTGGAAAATACTTGAAACCGATTAGGTAGTCATCGTTTTCGAAAACGTTTGGTGACAATCGGTAGATTTATTGCTGGGCAACGTCTCGCTTTTGACACAAAAGCTTTGTCAGGCCAAGTGACTAGGTTCCGAGGTTGATCGAGATTTAAGGCGGAAGGAGAACCAATCAGCTAAGTCAAGCTAAATCTCTGTTGGGTGTCGGCCGAGGGATTTTAGTGTGTTAGAGTGGTTGAACAAGTTTTGGGTCGGTGGGGAAACCTACATGTGTTTGGGTCCTGCCTAGGGTCTAGTTCTTCTGGTTCGGTTCATTTGATGGTTCCTCTTGAACTTCGTTTGAACATTCTGTTAGTCTGCGTGGGTGAGCTAGTGCTAAGAAAGTTGTGTAGGAGGGATGCTGTGACCTTTGGTCTGTTGGGGTTTTCACCCCTACCCCCCGGTTTTTTCCAATGATCCTAAGTGGATTGACAACCACACCGTCACGTGTCAACTCGGATTATCTAAGAACATTATTGGATGGTATAGGCTTGCCGCCGCATGAACTGGCCAGATTCTTAGCTAGTATACTAAGAACGCTCACGGGGAAATCACACACTTTCATTAGGAATTCGTATGACTTTGCCAACAAGGTCGCACGGCTTAGTTTGGAGATGGACGAAGTCCTCGTGAGTTTTGACGTAATATCAATGTACACAAACATCCCTAGGGCAGATGCTATGGAGGTAACTAAGAGGTTGTTTTTGGCAGACACGACACTCGGGGAACGGACACAGCTCTCGGTGGATGAAATAGTTGAGGGCATAAGAGTGTGTTTGAAGCTTGATAAGTTTGTTTTTGACACAACTGTTTACTCATAAGAACAAGGCCTTGCAATGGGATCTCCAATATCCCCAGTTTTAGCCAATATTTACATGGAGGACTTTGAACAAATAGCTTTGGCCGGATATCATTGTCCACTCAAAGTTTTTTGGCGTTATGTTGACGATACGAGACAACGAGACAAAGTAAACAGCTTCCACGACTATCTCAATAGTTTAAGCCCACACATTAAGGTTAGCATGAAGATAGAGTCCACATCAGGCACATTACCCTTTCTGCACTGTACAACACACAAGGTTGGTGGAAAATTGAAAACGACTGTCTACCAGAAACCAACAGACACGGAAACCGTCTTAAGCTATTCATCAGCACACCCAAAGTCCGTGTACGCCAGCATTGTCTCATCGATGTTTCGTCGAGTTAGAGCGCTGTGCACAGAAGAGATCGACCGGACGGCAGCTCAAATCAAGATTGCCAACAAACTTCAAGAAATAGGATACCCAGTGAGTTTGATTAGGCGACAACTAAGGAAGATATTGGCTCCAGTATCTAGACCCAGTGAGGAATGGATTGGCACAGCAGTCATTCCATATAAAGCAGGGACATCGGAGGTTATTCGAATATTGTTGAACTTAGCCAAAATTAGAGTAGCTTTTCAGAAGGAAAAAACGCTACGCTCAGTTTTGGTCCAATTGAAAGATCCCCTACCGGCTGAAAGGATTAGAGGCTGTGTGTACAAAAGTAACTGCAACGAGTGTGCTAAGGTTTACACAGGACAAACTGCCAGGGAATTGCACACCAGGATTGGTGAGCATAAAAGAAGGATTAACAAACCACCAAGGAATGCAGAAGAATACCAAACGCTGGTCAAAGACTCAGCGATGGCGGCACATGCCTTAGACACGGGACATAGAATAGATCTGGAGAATGTGGAAGTCTTAAGACGAGGACTGCGATTCACACCACAACGGCTGATAGCCGAGGCGGTGGAAATCACTAAGCAACACAGCGTGAATAGAATCGAGGGTGTGGAGCCAGCGAGCGTATGGAAAGCGGTCTTAGATAATCCGAGTTGACACGTGACGGTGTGGTTGTCAATCCACTTAGGATCATTGGAAAAAACCGGGGGGTAGGGGTGGAAAGCCCAATCGACCAAAGGTCACAGCATCCCTCTTATACAACTTTCTTAGCACTAGCTCACCCACACAGACTAACAGAAGGTTCAAACGAAGTTCAAGAGGAACCATCAAATGAACCGAACCAGAAGAACTAGACCCTAGGCAGGACCCAAACACATGTAAGTTTCCCCACCGACCCAACACTTGTTCAACCACTCTAACACACTAAAATCCCTCGGCCGACACCCAACAGAGATTTAGCTTGACTTAGCTGATTGGTTCTCCTTCCGCCTTAAATCTCGATCAACCTCGGAACCTAGTCACTTGGCCTGACAAAGCTTTTGTGTCAAAAGCGAGACGTTGCCCAGCAATAAATCTACCGATTGTCACCAAACGTTTTCGAAAACGAAGTATAAATTTTTCCTATCCTCGTAGACGTGGCCAAGAAAAGCACCCCATCATTTATTGGTTCATTTCTCCGTACAAAGTGCAAACAAATCCAGTTTAAAATCCACTAAGGGGACCCACATCATTCGCTCGGGTAACAAAATGCATTTACTTTGCCTACTTGATCTTGCTTCTTCTGCGTCAAAGCAGAAACCGCATTCTTTTTCAGTTATCCCATGCAGTTGTTATCCGTTTGTCATTCTGATCTGCCTGTTTTAAGGCATATTGCAGTGTTTTTATCGTGTTTTGCAATTATTGCTTTAAAGCTGAAGACAAAAGATTATACAAGTGAGTTTTCTTCTTCAAACGCTGCAGCTAAAGGACTTCTGTTCCAATCACGGCAATTTGGATACACCAAGCTGTTAAATCGTAAAATAATCTGATGACACTACATATGTGTGCGACATTTTGCTCCTCCGTTTTTGCTGTTTTTACATAGATTTTTAGTAGTAGATTACCGCTATTTTCACTTCTGTCAGCAATGCATGGGGCTGAACTTAATGTCGATCTCGTTGGAAGAATAGGCTTACTGCGGTAGACCCATTATACATTTTGTCAACTACACTTACGCGCACGCCAGTTTAGTATACACGTCCTTCTTTATGATTCACTTCAACTTACAGCGATGGCCGTAGACAGTCTCCATCTCTCAATGGTTCCAGTCAGTGCAAGCAGGCCTATTTGGCTAATGCGGATGTTTTTGTCTGTATGTCAATTGCTAACCTAAAAGTACCCCCACTTGCTAATAGTAAATCTTTTAGAGAACCGCAATTCAGTGATCGAAAATCACCATGGAAATGCTCTGTACTTCTCTAAAATTCCCTAATGACTGGCCCAGTGGGCTCGATGAACCCGAAATATTTTCAGGTTTAATTATCTCACAGTTCACACAATAAATTGTGCGATTGTTTAAAGTTCTAGACTGCCAATATTTCGTGAGCCTAAAGTCGATAAACATAGTTTAGTCAAATACATTTAGAAAAGAGGATTTAAAACCGCAAGTAGCTCGTGGAAGTTGCTTGCTTATGTGCTTGGCAATTCATGAGTGAGATGTGCTACCTACACACCTATCTGTAATTAAACTACATAATTATAGTGGATGGTCACAAAAGTTGTTTTATACTGTGAGGTACGTTTTTCGCTTGCCTAATTTTTCGTAGGGCACTTGAGAGGTTTTGGCAACCGTCACATACCTCATGATAGACCCCTATATGCATGTGAAACTCATACCGTCTATATGGTGCTGCATGTTACGTTGTTGCTCATTGTACAGATGGCATTATTTTTATGAACTGCGTCCTTCTTAGTTGAGCCTGCTACTCCATTCTTGCATTCTATGTCTTGTTTGAGCAAATCAACAACTTAACCATCGTATTCCTAGGAAGTATTTTATTGTTAGTACTGTCTTCAAATAACTTTTAATGCACACTTCCACGTACGGGGTCAATCGTAAAACGGAACTGTGATTATCTGGTTGACACAACACTATCAAACTCAGCTCATTGCCCGAAGTTACCAGCAAAGCTTTTTTGCGATATAACACGAATTTGTTCGACATTTTGAAAACCCTGCTGTGGATACAAAATTCCCGTTAAACTGAGTTGACAACACATCCCATAGTTTCTGTTTACCTTTTTGAACAAAGGCAAAACATCTGTTAAATCGAACTTAAAGTTCAGAAAACAGTATTAGAGAAGTCCATTCTAACCGCTTTCTTCTAATGATCATCACTTTAAAGACCGTTCATACGTTTTTTCTTAAAGAGATATCTTAACACCCTATTGTCTGCAGTTTTTTCTTTCAAGGAATGCTGTCTAAGACGATGAAGAACATGCGGTGTGAACAAAAAAACGGATCAGTATTATTATCAATTTAAACTTCATGATGCAACAATAGTAAACATTTATGGCTATATTCTATTATCGTCAATCATTTCAGCTTCACCATAACCGATATTTTCGGATACTATGGTCAAAAAGGTATCCATTCTGGAAAGTTTCTCTACGGTGGATGGTGGACGCGCAAAAGAGCTTCAACTTGCAGATAAGAAAAAAGTAGGTCCTTCGACTTCTTATCCGCAAGTAGTTTATCTTGTAATCCAAATGCATTGCCTGGATGATAGTTTTCTAAGCAATGGAATATATCTTTGAATGGTCCTAGAACAGCAAAGCAGTAAACAAGCATCCTTTTTGAGTAATCCTAGGGCAATTTACAGAATACATACACACACAGCAAAAGAACCAGACAGATGCATCAGTTTTCTTTTCTGACGTTGCTGTCAAGAACGATGGCGATGATAATCGACAACCAATAGGAAAATTTCCACTGTTTGAGGGTAGGTTGAGCGTTAACCCTGAAAGTACCCGTTTTGTAAGTCATTTATATGCTTGAGATATCATTTCAGCTACGGATTCATCTTTGACGATCTAAGTATTTGCTTTCCTATCAAGTTGCATTATTTTTTATGTAGATGTCACTTATCGCATGGCCTTTAGAACAAAGCGTGTTAAATATCTGCGCCAGATAAAAACGAAATGTCCCCCTGAAAATTCTTATTAACTATGGGTCATACGTTTTATAGTATACTTCTTTTGTTTTTATGAGAAACCCTCAGAACGTTCCACACAATCCGAGTTTCTTTACTGTGTACTATGTTAAGGAACGTAACGTTGTTTCCTCTGATTGTTCAAACGTCTTGAGGTCGGAAGCAGTCACAGCATTCTGAATGAAACATAAACTGGATTTTTGTGTGGGCGGAGTTTACTTGGGATGATGGTTGCCATTCACCATTTATCTGTATTGTCCTTGCCTCTGACACAGAATTTTCCTTGAAGCTCAAGCGTACATAGGTCCGACTATCTAAAGAGAAATTGAAAGCTGTTTTGAAACGTGCACAGCTCGGTAAATCTTAACCCAACCGACTCCAGTTCTCGGACCTAGTCGTCGTTAACGCCAGATTAATGCAACTATACCAAGATTCAATATGACTACTTCAGTAATCAGAGGAAATTATAAAAGTTTCGTAAGTGGCACGTTCAAACCGTGTTTGACTCCAAGTTCGAGGAAGAATGCTCAGAAATACTGGTGGAATCAACAGCAATATAGCCTGGTAGTCCATAACATGAACCCATGGAAACGTGAGATGGATTACTGTTCTAGATGAAATCCAGTGAAACCGTATTACAGATCAGTGACTGTAAAAACTTGATTAACCCTAATTTAGTATTTAGGCCACTGTAAATCCTTTTTGGTGTGAGATCAGCGGACTTGGTCCACTGTCTCCCGTTCTTCGAAAAGTTCCGTTGCCTGTTTATAATTTAGCAAAGTAATCTAATGCAAGGATTCGATCAGTCTGAATGAACAGCGAATTCTCTATCTTAATCATTTGTAGTTCAAACAGGCAACAAGTGAAGACAAACTCACAGTGCGTGTCCGTTCACTGCAGAGATATGAATTCTGATTTTTCTGCTTCAAAGAAATTTTAATTGCCTTTTCATATCATCTGAACATGGTAGCCTACTAACTATCAAATCCCTTTACAAATTATTTAAAATTTATTTATTAGAGACAAACAAACAAGTTTCACGCAAATAATAGGCTAAACTTTATTGAGTTCTCTCACGTTTCTTGATTTTATCAGTCCTCACTCATTTTTTGACCACTCAGATTTGAGCGCACGTCTCTGAAGGAGTCATACGCTACATCTATAAGCGCTTCATTATTTTGCAGGTAAATAGATCTTAAGGCGTCGTGATATGCCCTAGAAGGTTCCAGTAGCACACAACTTCAGTTTGGATTGAGTACACATTTACTTATCGCCCATTGCCAAATAATTATGTTTTGCCATTCTTTCCGCTGAAATACACCAACGTTTTGCCCACGAATTCCGCCACAGAAAAACTCTTTTGTTGTTCCATCTTTTTTAACAATAACAAGGAAATATCTACACTCTGTGCTTGTCACCACGTCTTATTTTTGCACGTGCTTTGGCATATGCCTATAAGTACTTCATTTGGACAGTGAAATATTTCGGAGGAAAACAAGGATCTTGTCGACTATAAATTTACAGTTCAAAAGTCAAAGTACCACATTGCTGACTGGTTCCTTGCACTTGGGGAAAAACATGGACGCAAACTTTCTTGATGCTTTCTCGTTTTATTTTATTAAGGTAATGGGATCCAACATCTCAGAAGATGCAAAACTGCCTACTCAACATATTTGTGTTTTTTTCTTCTTTGCTATGCCTAAGCTTTTGTTTACATGGATTTGTAGCGTTGAGTCTTGATGTTGTTTTACGATCCCCACGAGAGACAACTCTGTGCACACACTGCCTTGTGTTGCACGCTTTGAATCTTGATAAACGAACCTCCTTGGTTTTTTGATAACACCTGGACCTAATATTCCAAATAAAAAACCTGTTCTTTATTCAGTATTCCAGTCGTCTGGTCAATCACACTCCAAATTAATATCATCTTTGCACAGCGGTAAAGAGTTTTTTGTTGGCTTTTTTAAAAGCATCATTTACGAATTTGTGGACAAAAACTTGTTAGGTAGATTCTTTTCCAGTGTTTAGTGGGGCAGAGTTATAAGTGCGTCGTATTCCGTTGGTAACCCGAAAATAGGAAAATTTTGAGTCAAACCATTGTTATTCCCAAAAACGGTTGCTCACTAAGCATTGTCTTTTAGTCTGAAGAGTAGTGACGCTTGAAGGTATTTTGTTTGACCAAAGTCATCGCGCACGTCAGGTGGTGTTTGGAATCACCTATTGAATGGGATAAGCGAAGTAGATATGATAGGGTTTCGCTCAGGAGATTCGCGCTAAGTAGGCTTACGGCAGGTTTGCCTGCATAAAGCCACATCTAATTGGAAATTCGGCAGTTGAAGCTTAACAAAAGCTGAAAATATGTGGGCTGTAGGCGGAGCAGAGGCGACAAGCAAAACTACGGGTGGCTCCAATTAAACAGCTTCATTTAGATGCCTAACTGACAGTCTCTTAAGTATATCTATCAGAAAACGAAGACCACAAAAAAGAGTCAGCTCATAATTATATATGGCCGAGTGACAGTCAGTGCGGTACATTTGCATTGCTGATCATATACACACTGCTTTCAGGGATTAATTAGAACATAACAATCTTCAGCGCCTGTAACAAAACGGTTCTAATTTTCTGGCTAAATTAGATTGATTTCTATGCACTCCTCAGCGTATCGATTGGCTTTTCATGGTAGACTCGAGTGAATCTCTCGTTTATGATTTTCTTTACCTGAATGTGCTGTACAAATGCCCTCTCACGTTTCGGCTGGTACGATATTTGAAATGTTACAGGATTTACTCACAAAGGATACTACTATTGAAACTCAAAGACTGCGCCTCCCTGATGATCCACAATTGAAGCAAAGCAGGTCGCGGGCTGTCGAAGAATTCTCAGAAAACTTGAGTAGTTTCCATTCTGGAAATGTGTTGCAATCTGTCGAATAAAACATAAGGCGACCTTTTTGCAGCACATTCAGTTAAAGAATATCACACAGAAGAGTACCAGTTTAGTCTTGAGTGGAAACTAAATTGATATATAAATGAGTGTACTTTTCAAAATTCGTCCGGCTCGGATTCCAGTATAAAATAAGCCAAACGGAATCTCGCCTACGTGACCAGCTCTCAGAGGGGGAAACTGTCCGTGGGCTAATGAAGAAGGACCTGCTAGATCAGTTTCCTGTTGCGCGTGCAGATGTTTCTCACATAATTAGACACTTTTAGCACTTTTATTGTAAGTGCTTCTATCTGTATTGTTGTTTTCAACGGATGGTGCCTACATGTAGTCCACCTTTTTCTGTGTTGACAGTCAAGCAACGTATCAATGATTCTCACTAAATGGTAGGACCCACCGGAAAACCAAGATTAAAAACACATACTGTTACTCGGTGCCAATTAGGAAGGATGGCAACTAGAGGGTAAACATACAATGAGGTTTCACAAGTTTTATTTTTCAGGAATGACCTTTATCTGTTAGTTCTAGGTTTATTTCTTCTCTGTGCTTGCAGAAACTTCAGCGGTTGTAATCAATATGCCTATGGCACATAGTTCATAGCTGGACTGGTTGATCGATTGATTGATTGATTGACTGGTTTAATGATTGATTGATTGATTGACTGGTTGATTGATTGATTGATTGATCGATCGATCGATCGATTGATCGATTGTTTGTGCAGAAACTTTGCTGACCATGCAAAATTTATTCACTTTCACAGAATCCCCGACGGACTGTTACTCATTCCTCGTCTGCCGTCGATCGATTATCGATTGTGCTTGCAGAAACTTTGCTGACCATGCAAAATTTATTCACTTTCACAGAATCCCCGACGGACTGTTACTCATTCCTCGTCTGCCGAGCAATACCTGGAGAATCTTTGGGGTGCGGATGCGGTTAATTATTTTTTTAACCCAACTTTTACACCAACGGGAAAAACATCATCAGCCGAAGAGAAAGCAACGAGAATCGCTCCCTTCGACCAGTTAACTATCGGTGGTTATCCAAATGGATTGCTACACGGGTCAAGGGTCCCATTCCATCCGGAATTGAAGCCCTGGTTGCTTCACCCGATAGAACCTGAACTTATAAGGAGGCGAAAGTCAGAGTGTGCTCGTCGTCCAAGCTTGGCTCTTCTAACATCAGAACGACGGATGAGCGTTCTCAAACCTGTTGGTGTCTCAGGTTTAATTGACACCTTGAGGCTGCATGCTGGAGTGAATCCTGGTGCCACAAATGTGTGGGAGGTTCTGAGAAGTCGATCCTATAAACTGCTACAAAAGTTGGAGAAAGCTGACGAGAAATCTAATGAAACGTTTGCCGTTTTCACAAGAGAATATGCGCTCTCAGAACGGAAAAAGGTATGTTGTTGACTGATAACCAGTAAATCATTATGGGCAAATGGACTGAACATTCACCTTTTCAAAAGTCCATGTTATTGAGGAACATCCGCTAGGTAGTGAGTAAACAATATTTGCGAGCTTATTTACAGCTGGCGCGGTGATCTGATCAAACGTTTGACACAGGTTTCCAACGTCTTTATAAACGACCCTATATGTTGACTTTTACCTTGAAGAGCATCCTCTGTCAAAAGTGCTCTACCACAAACCCCCCCCCCAATGTGGGAATTTTTCATGGAAATTTGCGCCCAAAGTCAGAGCCTGAATAGGTTATTTGCCAACCCATCTGCACTTGAATTTGTAGGTCATGTACAACTTAATAGCTCTGAACTTTTCCACAACAGGTCCCGGTTTTTAAACGTTTAGTCCGTCGTGTCTCATATAATCGACAATGACAGAAGATGATTTGAAAAGCAACTGACACCTCAAAAATCGAGATGTGACGGCTTCAACCTGGAAGTATATCTAAAAAGCCACATGTCGCATGTCTACCGACTCTCCAAAACGGCTCTCAAGACACAAAAGAAACTTCTGGTGCATAGACTCAAGATTGAGGATAAGCACTTCAAGATATCTACTGGTTCGGAATCCAATTGCCCTCACTAAGGAAGTGCCTGTGGGAAGCTCTTTTACTCACAACACCCTGGATTTTGAGGAGAAATGAATAATTGTATCGATTCCTCGGTCATGAGACATTCAGAATTGGTGTCAGAACGTAGGAGGGTGCTGTTTAGAGCAGGGAAACCTTAATAATAGTACTTAATACTCTATGTAGGTCTAGGGCAATTCAATTTTGGAAGGTCCTTTCACGCTCCCGGTTTAGAGCTTAATATTGTTGACCTTCATATGCGTCACTGTGGAGCCCATATTTTGCTTCTATGCCTTCAAAGCGCAGAATATCACTCCATAGCTGGATAAATAGAGCAACACACCTATCCATAACACCAGTGACATCTTGATTCAAAGGTAGGTGTACTTCCTCGACAGACTTTAATTATGAAGCTGATCTTTCGCTTTTCAGCTCAGGTTACTTTTGGAACTACCATAATGGGTTATTGGCGAAACACGTGGACTCTAGAGTTATAATGCGTTTGGCTCTGCTTTGTGGCTATAAAACATGATCGTCTTGTTTTGAGCACAGTAGGAAACTGTTTACCATCAATCAACAGTACGTCCAACGCATTGCCAGTCTATTGCAAAACACCTAGTTAGAGGTAGTGAAACACAGCATATAGATTCTACTTAGTCAACTGCACGATAAAACACGACTGAAAACGCTTGGCTTGTTCGTATTCCTTGTATGTCATGGCCTGTCCATTGAAACCTTCCCTAATTTGTTGGCGTGATACGGCCAATTCCCATGACTAACGGTGCTGTTTTATCCGTTTTATTCTCTTTGAGTTTGGTTGCCATGGCGACATTATGTTCCTTCTGACACTTCCTCAGCCTGGTTGACCAGCTTCCACGCACTGTCTTAACCAGAACCGACGTACGATCCAGCTTAGGCTCTGGTTACACAACTGGATTGAGCCGCATTTGATCGGACTTATTTGAAGCTAAGTCATCACGTACGTATGAATGCATACACTCATCTGCCCGGCACTGAGATTGTAAGAACGATAAATTAACTATCCATATGGTTAACAGAATACCGCCAAGTCTCCTATTACCACCTCAGTGGTGAACTGGTGGGCTGCATCTAACAGTGTTTGAATGATACTCTACTGGAGAATATGCAGTATTATATTGGAACTTATAGGACCTGACGGATAATACCGTCACTTTAGTGGTAAACAATCCACAAGTGCCGGTATTCATTGCGGGACCATTCGTTGTGGTTGGCCGATGGCTTCCAAATGGCTTCTGCAAGTTCGCTGCTGATCTACTGCCCTCCGGTCCACATCGGTGTCTAACACTTGCATACAGCCCCAAAATCAAATTCGCGCAGACCATCTGCGACACTGAAATCATGCGCAAGCGTCTAATGGTCTCATCATCGTTGACGGGCGAATTCAGTTGTGGTCTCAAAGTTGATACCGTAATTATTTGTTGGCCATTCCGCTAATACTACCAACTATCCTATGCCCAGTCGCTCGTTCACCCACAACTAGCCTCTGTTACTGTTTGACTGAATTGTTCTGGTTGAAAACATTTGTGCAAAATCTGTTTGAATAGGTAGAGTTTTTATATTTCTCCGCTTAAAAGAATAAAGAAAATTTCCCTTTTATGGAAAGATATGAATTTGTTCCATTTTTTGTGTATATATTTTGGTAAGCCTTGAACACAGTTTACATTCTCGTTGGTGGTGCAACATGCATAGCATTCACTTGCTCAAACCGATGTTTGATGATGTTCTGAGGAAACTTTCCAACGCACTGAAGGTTGAGACTTAAATTTTTGGGCCACAGTCAAGTTTAGTAACTTGCTCAGTGGTCCTAAAAATCTCCACTTTGCAAACAATTCCGGATAAAATGGAACGCAAAGTTTAGACTAGTTCGACTTTTGCACCAAAGCAGCTTGTAAGCAAAACAGGATTAAATTTGAAGGGGCAAACAATATCAAATTACAACCTTAGTTGTCAAGTTTGCCGGCAAATTATGCATGGATGCCCATGCAAGAGAGAATTTCGTAGGACTCGAGGGCCATGTCGTTCAGTCACAATGGATCCAATTGCTAACGGTAATTCTGCTCCGGCAAGGCTGATAAAGACTTGATCAGCAATTTTTGGGACTACAGTCAAATTGCTTGACTCCTCTCATATGGCATCACCTTGGCCCCACAACACTACCCTCCACTCTCCTTCTACTGCTCCCGGTGCGGAGTTTTAAATTGCACCTTTTTAATATGCTTGTGAAAATAACGGTGTGGATAGGTTTGGAAACACACGCACTCATTTGCACGCCAGTTTGGTTTTGACAGGAGAATCAATTGAATCCGGTTAAATCTCCCTCTTAGTTTGTCTTCGCGCTGCGTTTAGACAGTATATTGCAATATCTTAAATATCGTAACAATTGAAATATGGGGTGGCCTGATGAAGCACGTTCAGTTGGAATGGACTGTCATGAAATGGAGATTCATCTTAATTCAGCTGAGTCTCATATCTAGACCAGTTTCACGTGAAGATGGCCGTTCTTGTCGGTTTCTGTTCAGTTTGGGTTGGATAAGGAAATAGGGTTTAGAAAAGTCGTAATAGGGTGCCTACCTGTGCAGGCCCAGTAAAGACGAGGTTAGTCGTGGGCTGTTGAAAAGTTTTCAGCAAACATGAACGTAGTGTGTTACAATTAGACAGTTTGGATAGGTATTTTAATCTGTTGGAACACTTCTGTCGTCCCCATTGGCTTCAGCGCCTGAAGAAAAGTGTACCGGCAGAACCTTTCTCACTGATATACAGCAGCAATTGTAAAGTGACACTTTCGATCATGTGGGTGTGCAGTCGGTTGGTACAGACGACAATTTGGCTTAATTTCCACCCGCAAAAATACTCTTGTACATAGTGTCACAAAAAGGATATTCTGAAGTTTTACGAAGTTGGAAAGTCGCTTCCAGCATAGTAAACCAATAGTATCAGTTTAAAATATCGATACTTTAGATGTCTCGCCCTTGTGAAACAAGAATACATAACAATGCTTACTTGCTTTTGCGGAGGTGGCCTTTATTGGGAATGCTATCTATCCCGTTGAAAGATTTATTTTGAATGCTCAAAATGTCCCCCCTAGGCGGATGTTCCTTATACAACGAACTGACATGAGATGCTTGTGTCACAGCACACCTTGAAACGGATATTTGACAGTGTGTACTCGGTACAGCATAATGGTAAATATCAGTGCTGAAGTGAGCTCTTATTGTTCATCATTCGGCATTTCTCATAAGCTCATAATAAAATTTCCATGAGAATCTTCTTCCTATGTGCCAAAGAACACTTACGCTGATACCTAACTTGCAGACTGCCCGAAGTAATTAAAACGTACTAGGGGGTGTAAGTGACAGTCATTTGCTTGTTGTCATTAGGATGCCTTACTAAAGGTGGTCCAGTTTGCCTTTCAGTGTTCATCTTACCATTGATCGTGTCGTCCTGTTCTACCGGGATACTTCAATCCTGCAAATGCCACTCCCTTCGAATGCGGTTTCGAGGTTCATGCCCGTAGACGTGTAATTGGCAGTTACCACGTGCAAGTGTATTGTGAGGTTCCCAGATAAATTGTGGTTCCTTGAAGCGCAGATTAGTTTACTCTGCCGTTAAGGCTTCATGCGTTAGCATGCACTTTTAGAAACTAACCTGTTTTTTATAATTTTCTTTGCTGAATGCCACAGGTTGGATTGCTTATTCAGATGACAATGTTTCAATCACATATTTAAGGTATGTCATCCGGATAGAGCCGATAAATAATTAACAAGGTGTGAATTCTATGTAAAGAAATTCTGGCTTTTTCGGAAGCAAATTACATCTTTACACATCCACGAGTTCCAAGCAGGCTCTGTCACACATTTTGGAGCTACAATACAAATATAATTTGCTTGTACGTTTTGATGTAGTCCTCCAGGTAAAGGAAATCTTATACTTCATACTTTCTCGTCTTAGATCATTCAGAAGAGATTATTATTGTCTATTCTGCATATGGTCTATAAAGCCTTATATCGTTAGTGGCCGAGTAGTGCAAACAGTTTGCCAAACGTCCTTCATTCCTTCATTAATTTGAGTGATAACTCCATTTACAAACACCATGATGTCTCTTTATCTAATGGTGACCAAGCATATGACAATGAAATGCACAGTTGCCTGAATTCTGAATAAATATAGGAAATCATCTAAGCTCTGCCCGCTTGCTTCCGTTACCACTTACCGATTAGATTTTAGATCTGGATGAGGGGTTACGTTTTTGGTCACCAGATATTTTGTGCTTACATGTCCCCACGATTAAGACTCCTCATTGACCTTGAAGTTGACGTCGTATTTTCTGCTTACGTGTTCTGTTGCCTCGAATCGATGACAAAAATCTAGAACTGACAGCCTAGGTGATATGTTAACGTTCCACTGACAGAAATGTAAAAGTAATTCCCCTTGTTTCTGGTTATTCAGCCTCCACTGTGCGACTTTATCCGAACGAACACGTCTGGTCATCTGGCACAAACAATGAGGCATTTGAAAGCACATGGGGCGGAAAAACAGTTTCGTAAAACAAAAGCCATGGTGGCATGGACTGAACGCAACCAGGAGCACCTCAAAATGGTACTACAACAGCACGATATCAGAGACAAGCTGGAGAGATGCAAATTAGAGAACAGAATGGAGCGCCACGACAGTGACGCAAAAAAACGCGAGTCCAAAACAGGGGTAGTCACTCCAGCGGAAGGGCCTACAGTTTTTCAACAAACTGGAGGTCCAGGAATCCAACTTGCCTCTAAACCTACGGTGGATGAGTATGTTGTGTACTTTATTCTGTAAATTAAGTTTGTACTGATTGGTAACTGAATGAATGTTACTGTATGTTTAGTTCCTATGCCAACTAGCGTGTCCTCACTCACCTAAACCACTGGATAGTTTCAATTTATATCAGGATTACCTTTTTGTTCTCAGTATGCTGTGCTTGGAACGTGCATTTCAGATACAGTACGAATTTTACACGTCACTTCTACTTTTATAGGCTCTATGGTTTACATCATGGCTGTCATGTTATACAGTGGATAAACAACTACTGCGTGTGATTACTACCTGAATGAGGCAAGAACAAGAATAAAATGGCTCTGGTTGTGATTGATGAGGGATGTAAATTCATTATACACAGATCCCGAACACTAGAGAAAAAGATACCGTTCACTCTCTTATACCTAGTATTTCCGATCAAGCTAGTGGATTTTATGTGAGATTAATTACTCTGTGCTTCTCGCTTACCAAAAACATGTCGGCATATACGTCAACGCGTACGCCATCAAATGAACGAATTGTCACAATGAACAGAAACAAGGAAAAAGCCGCAAGGACTTGGCATTTACGTTTACCAAAGGCAGTGAAGTTTCGTTTCTGAAAAAGCCAACGTCCTGTTACACGTTTGTGGCCATCCATCAAGTGTCAGCTGTGAAAAGAAACTGCATTCAGTCGGGCGCACCTATGGATTTCTTTGAAAAAGGAAAACAACGGAGGATCTTACTGAGTCTGACTGAGTTCTTCGAACTGATTGAGGGTTTAAACACGTCATATTGATCCCCTCATTGTTATCATCATCGAAACCACTACACCATTGCTCATCATTGTTTAGCGGCAGCGATAAAGCAACTTCTTCACAAAATATGTCATCATCGATATTGGTAGATTTTTTCCGAAGTCGTTCGCAAGTCAGTGTAATGAAAAGCCGTGAAATATGAAATTCGATTAACCTTGGGAACATCGTACAATTAGCAAGCCCGATACGTATGTCGTTCCTCAAGCTCGGTTTAAATTCCGGTGGAGGGCTCAGGGTATATCCCATTCTACTGTTTTATTTTTCCAAAACTTTTTACGCATAGTTCTCTTCAGTTCATCGACCCCGGAAATTACCGTGCGGAATTTCTTTGAATGAATGCTATCAGTGTGAAGATTTTGTCGTGTAAATGATGCCAGTCTGTGCTGAAAAGCCGAGAAGCACAGTGCGTCATTATGTGTAAGAGACAACTAAAGATAAATCGAAAATACCTATATGCTCTGCAGAACAATCCACATCAGCAGCATGTCAACTGGGATGGGACAGTGGTGAGCTCTTCTCAACGCACAGTCAATCCTGTTGTTTTTATAAACGGATTACTACTTCATCCACTTGGCTTGAATCTCTTCTGTAAAAAGTAAACTTTCCCGTCAAAACCGCCATATAGGAATAAAATCGATAACATTTATCATTGGTATTATTGCTAATGAAAAACCTTTGTGGGTTTTACGTGAACAAACCCAGGTTGATGGTCAGTTGAGATCGTAAGTTTCATTCTATATAGTACCGCATCGAACTGGCCTACTGACGCACATATATCTATAAATCGTTGTGCCACAAATGATGCAGGCTTATGTGGTGACTTAGGACGGAGGCAAAACCTGTATAAACTCTAAATCCTGATTGTGTAATATATGGACCTGGAAGCACCATCCACAATATAAAACATATACAGTATATACATCTGCAGTATATAGTATACACAGTATATATTTATATATATGAAAACAGCTCTATACCGTTAAATTCAACAACGTAGCGGGCGAAACGGTTTCACAGTTGAAGCGAAGAAGAAAGCAAAACGCTTCAGCAATTAAAACAAAAAGAATGAGGAACTATGCCAAGACTATATTCTGAGGAAAGGCAATAGAACCGGTTGTGCATGCTGCATTGCTGTCATTCTTGCTTATCCCTCTTAAATACTGTCAGACTTTGTTCCGTGAATACACTTCATATAAGTGGACCACTGTTTTTGACTTTTAGTCTAGTAAATATGGACACTGTTGACTACGATGCCTATAATATATTGTCCTGTTCGTATACGTAGTAAGAGGCGAGATGGCTCAAGTGTTTAGAGTGCAAATTTACTGACTGATTTGAACCCGACATCTGCGTCTCGACTTTCCCTATCTATGCTTGAGCACCCTGACAGTATCTCATCCCTCGTGCTCCATTCAGGTGGCATTGCAGCTAGGCGGATGCTACAGCTGAATGATACGCAATGAATATCCAGTAAGCCGACAGCGTTTGTAAGAAGCCTGGGTAATGCTCACACTCGAAGAGTAAGGCTTATCGCATTTGAAAAAGAACTGGGCCTTTTGGGCCGGTTTCACTGTGATGCGGACAATAGAATCAATGATTAAGCAAACTTTTGCCACAATCACAATTTCATACTAGAAAAGTGCCTTTTCTACTAACGACAAACTTGAACTGAGACAGAACTATTGGATTTTTTCTTCAGTCGGTTATTTACAGAAGGTACTACAAACGCAGCAAGGATTTTAACGTCACCAATGAAGCCCACTAATAATAAGCGCCATTCAGTGCTACAATCACCACGTCTGGAAAAGGTGTTATTTAGCTGAGACCAAGAAACGCAGGTTACCTTTAATCATATTTAGAATTCAATGTACAGGAATTTGTCCAATCAATATGCCAGACCACGTAGGCACTGCGTTACAAGCAACGTGGGTCGTTATTTTCATACTTGCCTTTGAAAAAAGTGAATTCGGTTATTACATAAATTTATGGTGTGACTCAGCTTATGTTGCTTATAATTTCAATACTGTAAATCATCAATTATTCCCAAATTGCAGCTTTCTTCCTGAAAACTGGAGTGACACATCGATACAGAAAACAAATCGCATGATAGACAATCGTCTGGTGTCAAAGCTCAACTCTGTCAGAACCGGGGCCAAGACAGAAGAGAAATGCATGTGCGTTGAAAAATTTTCCCAGAAGCTACAATATTTGAAATGCCACAAGACTCTATCAGGAGGAAAAAACATCTTCACAAAAGGGGAAGAAGTATCGTAAGTCCACCTAATTTGGAACAGTTGACTACAGTATTTCAAGTCATATGAATTAAATAAGCCTGCGAGGGCAGAACTGGTGTCCCACAGATCTCTCAAATTATAGGACTTGTTTTACAGAGGCAGTATGAGTTTTATACCTACGGTTACAGAAAGGAAATCCTGCCTTGTGTATGAAACACACTGGTAGTACCCTTATTTATTCTGACTAGTATTAATGGTATTGCGGCTGAGAACTTAACCATATGGATTTACCTTAGCATTAACCAAAGACCACTTTTCTGTACAGAATTAACCCCTCAGTCTTTCACTTTTAGCTCTATAACGGCACTCCTTTACACGACGTCTTCGACTTTTTTCTTAAATGTCTTGATCAGTTTACTGTGCCTCAATTAGTAGTTGTGTGCACGAGAGGCGAATTCTGTATAATGCAGAAAATGATTAAATTCCTCCCTTGTTTTCCAGTCCAAGTACCCTTCTGTGAACACGGTGATGCAGTTTAAAGCACACAACGAGTTATTATTTGCGATAAAGTTCTTCTAGTGATTAGTAAAGAACCGACAGCAACCTTTCCCCTCTCACAGGACTGGGTCGCACAATTTGTGGTGCTTTGATCACTGTCCTTCCTTGATGCTGCTTTGTTACCTCTACACATTTTAGACAAGTGCTGTCAGGCAGAACAGCCCCAGATGCTTTTCAAAACCTAAAAAATAATAACTCCATATTCTTGCTCCGTATTTTAGGTAGCCCCTTTATAACTTGGTAGTATTGTTAAGTTGCCGTGTATAGGGACTCTACTTGTGATCACACGATGAATTCACTGCACAAGTGCAACCTTGGCTCCAAAATACCACATGCCATTTAATCCACTACAGTGTAAAACATACAAAGCTTTTCGCATTATTTGGCGAGCCACTTACCTAAACTGATACTAAAGGTTCAAAGTATTCCTGGGGCATTTCAAATGCCTTATGAAAACTAGGTTGTCCATCTTTTGGACAAATGATTTTGAACGTCACCCTTGCTGATTTCAACGGAGTTCCCAAAAATGCACGCCTCTTAAGACAGACAAAAACGTAACCACCAGTTAATTAACTTAAAATTCCAACAACTCAGTACCTGATTTGGTCTGTTCATCAGCCGTCAAGTCCGATGTTTGCTATACTTTACATAACCGTTTGTGCCCGATAAAACCTATTTGGATCATGTAAGATAGCCGCAATCTAGTTTCAAACAAATTAGGTTAGATTCTTTGTTTACGATTTGCTGCAGCGGAGCACTTGGCGCTCTGTCCCATTTAGTACTCATGATCAACCTTCAAGGGCAGGCGCTTTGTCGTCATCTAAACTAATTCGATGTATCGCTGATTTATAGCTGCAGAGTCAAAATAAAATCAGTATGGGGAAGCACCTAGTCAAGTGAACGCAATGATATTAGCTACTCCAGACTAGATGTTTTTGAAAGTTCTAAGAACGTTTATTGAAATAACATGGTAGCAAAAACTACTGTTTTCTATATGTGGTTCACAGCGAATTTGCAACATAACACATATAAGGATAGTAAATAGGAGGGACTAGTTGAAAACCCAGAAAACGTAGTCTCACCGTTTGACGGTAGTTTGCTTAACATCCATCAACAAATGTTAAAGCGGGTGATATCGGACGCTTGTTCTAGTCGTTTTCATCCGCTTTGGTGTGGAAAACTAGTTTGTATTGCAATATTCCACATGAAAGGTTTATGAACGTGTGACTAGTATATCCGGCATCTTCATGAAGTAAACTTATAAAAGCTTGGGTAAACATAATATAAAGAAAACTACTTGACAACCAATAATTTCATGGTACTTTAGCAATTTTATACTTTGTCTTGATGAAAAACTTTCATACAAAGGTCTTGAGCAAGACCTTTTGAGGGTTTGGATGATTGCTGAGCTGTTTTACAAAACAAGAGGTTTTCAATGTACTATTAATCTTAGATGTTTCAGAGTACTGAGCCAACCATTTCCACACATTTCCACCCGTAAAAATGGGCCACAAGTCTCATTACTTCCTGACATTCCTATCTTCCAGTTGGTGCTCATCTTTTTTAACTTCAATGAAATAAAATGGTTGGTGCTTTTGAATTCTTTCTCATAACTACGTGAAAACCTCCGACTTGGACTTATACCCTCATTTGTATGTAGTTTTTCGGGTAAATTTGTTTGGCACTATTTATGCACTATTTATACACCGCAGAATTATCAGTTGAAGTTTCCTTATTCAAACATCTGATGTAAATCCTAGAATGTCGTCCGCTTCTGACGTTTTGGCGAGGACGCAGTCAAAGAAAATTCAAACCCTGGGCGCATTCCCTGATGATACCACGGTGGAACCGTTATGTTGGTCACAGCTTATTGAACAACAAACACAAGCGAAGCAACAAGACGAATGCGAGAAAAGTTGACGGATAAAAAATTTTGTTATACATATTTTTCAATTTTGGGCTCATTCGATGTTTGAAACGCACTTCTAGAGTCTCACAATTTGTGTAAAAGGACGCGTACTTTCATCTTTGATTAGTTACGCTTTAAACTCTCTTTCAAAGCTATGCCAAGTCAAGATTACATCCTCTTTGGACAGACATTGCTCGTAAATCTATGTTCCCTTTTGTAGCGACTTTATATTCATTTACCATTAAGCTGTTCACGCATGCGCAAGAGTTTTGATTCTTCTACAAGGTCAACTCTCCGACCTTTTTAACTGTAAATTCTCGTCTTACTAGAGTTTATTCCAACTAATTTTGTTTCATTCACTCACGTCAGTCATGGTTGTCTTATATAACTTGTGATTATTGTGCTGTTGGGCTTATGTTTGCTTGATTCACGCAAATTTCGTGTATCTGTAGGGCTTAGGTAAAAAAAATTATACAAAGCCAACGAACACTTACCTTAATCTAGGTAGAATGCCAGAAATCCTACAAAGAATCCCTTACAGTTATGTCTGAATGAGATGACGTTTCTTTGATAAGCATCAAAGACTCGTGAGTGAACTTTATGAAGAACGTTCTTACTGATCTCGCAAAAAATTCCAACGAATATTCAGCAACCTAATTCAGTAGGTTTGTGAAGGTCTTAAAAGAGAGTTATAAGTGTGCCAAAACCTGTGTAAGGAATCTTCCCGCGCAGCAAGTTTCGAAATGCCACACAGCTGAAGTGCTCACGGCTACTAATTTTTTATCAACATCAAAAGACCATTGATAAACGAAGTCTAATGCGGTGGTGAGGTAAGCAAACCCAATGGTAATGATGGCAATTTTCAGATGTAGAATCAGTCGCAAACGCGTGGAAACACAAAAGTGAATAGCATCAATGATGGATAGGGTAGCTGCACAGTCCCAAAATAAAGACAAAAGCAAGCGGATATCAACAAGGGACTTTACCCGGTCAACGAATTTATATGCGGAAGTTTGCGATGACAAAGCTAAATGAAAGACGGATGATCAACACCATTCCTTCCGACGGCGCAGTGGCAAACCCACACATCCATGGTACTCAGTTCAAACACAGTTTTAGATCTTGTGTAAATACTGGAAAACTTCTGAGCAGATATTATAAGTCGCATTTGAAAGCTATCAAATTCTGTATGTGGACGCTGCTACTCATTATAGTCTCATCGACACACCCAACACTGTGCGATTTACACAGATTGGCGTTATCAGTAAAGTTTAGATTGTTTTTTAGTGTTTTTCAAATTTCTTAGTATGGACCGCATTTATCGGTCTTCTGGAATGGCAGTTCTGCAGTGCATACTAGGTTCTTGATTTTATTTAAGTCAAATGAATACAAGACATTATTTTCACAGCCTTTGGCTGGAGCGCTTTCAACGTTCACAGTTCAGTGAAACTAAAATGGGTGAATCAAAGTAAACTAATGGACAAGAGTGTAAGAAATATTTGACATATTGGAAAACGCGCTTTGCTCTTAGACAATGGCAGCGACCATTCGTGCAAAGAAAGATATGACCACAGTAAATAGTTGTTCTTAGGAGAACTGGTGACAATCCTGTCAGAGAATTAAATTTTGCAGGGTTGCAGGGGGCGGAATGCATCCAATAAAGTCTGACAAAAACTAGTCAAGGCTGAAAAACGTTTTAAAATACTGGATGTGTTAAAGAACATGAGGATTTTAGTTTCCATCTGAACCACCGTTTAAGGAGCCGGACAGTCAGCACTGGATCCTTGTGTTTTATTTAAAACATTAAGTAAACGTGGAAACACTGCAAACAGGCCCGCACTTTCAGGCTAAAAAATGAAATAATACGAAGATAGCAAACTTTTTAACCAAAAAGAATAAAAGGAATGCAGCCTGCTTTACTAAGGATTGGGTAAATATCCTTGGACTACAGGAACGCTGCAGAAAAAATAATGGGGTTTATGCCTAGTTTTATTCTCTACATATCTTCATTCAGTGGCCGAAATAGAACGTCACAATAAAAAATGAAGAAGTCCTTGAGAAACTTTGAAAAATCAAGGTCGGCACATCTGAAAAATAGTCCATGTTGTTAGCAATGCTAGAAATCCAACATGTGTGCAGAAATTGACGATGATATCAGCATGCTTAAAAATAAGGATGGTTGCAAAGAACTAAATATGAAATACATGAGGAAAACAAGAAATATCCCTAAGAAAAACTGAAAATTGGTTTGAGGCAGACAATATCTGTGTCTCACGTGGCATATATCATTAATACTCTCTGCAAAACAGCCATGCTTGTAAGAAAACTCTTGCAACCAAGTTCACTACAAAAATATTTAGTATGTAACTACTGCGGAGGCATTAGAAGGTACTTTAGTTCCAATTTAAAAGAGCATCTGCTAAAACAGCAAGTCCCAGTACAGTTATGTGTGGTCGAAATCCCTTCTCCACATGATGCACAACCTTAATAGACGGACCAGGTCAACTGAATTGGATCTGACTTTATCGAACTCAGCTAGTGTGCGTCCGTTTCGAGTGCACAATCTGTGCAAAACGCTTAGCACCACCGAGGGGAGTATTTACACTGAGGAGGCATCAGAGCTTCTTCGCCAGCCTCCTCGTGGTGAAAAATTGCAACATTCTGCAGTTCCGGGCGCTCACATAATTTGTTTGTATGTTACAGCATTACCGGTGAGAAGCTTTGCTTTCGACATCTCCCGTGTGTCTGAAAGAGCAGGCTTTGACGTACCACGGAGTGCCTTATGTTTGCTATATTTATGTGTAAGAATTAAGACTCAAAATGTCTTTCTCCTTAAGTTATCGTCAACGCCACCTTAATTCGTTCATACTGCACGTAAAAGCTGGTGAACTGTAATCCTTTACAGAAAAGTACATCGACTGGTCACAGCAACCGGCTGTTTTCCTCGCCTAATAAGTAAATACCTTCACGATCCCCCCGTTAGGACCTCTGTGGGTAAGATATGTAAGCAACTAGGAGACAAGCCTCAAGTATGGACTAATTGCCTGCCCATGGTACTATACGGGGTTGTGCATTACGGCGCTGTCCCGAAAGCCATTCACCACTGCAGTTCCTGGAAATACATTCCTTTGCTCCAGTTCTCCGCAAGGAAAAATCTCACTTACATTGCTTTTCAACAGTTTCCTTTCGGAACTATCCACAGCCGCTTACATATATCTTAACAGATAGCCCAAAGGCACAAACTGCCTTTGTTGGGTTTAGTCATTATGTTAGACGAACTAAGATTAATTTTTCCGTCCCTTCCCAAAAAACGCACCGTTCCGGAAAATTCTCGCCAGTGCAGCAAGTAACACCCCTCATTTTTTGCAAAATGAAATTGAATTCTCGAAATTTATGATATTTTCAATGGTAACACTTTATGGTAAAGAACGGCTATGTCTCATGGTTTCTTCTGCATATTACCTTAAGTGTCACCAATCACTGTTGCTTGTGAAAAGAGTGTCTAATGTAATAAAGTATCGCAGATTGCTATAAAAACGCGAATCGTTTAAAATGGACAAGGATTTCTGGCAGTATTGCATCTAAAATAATTCCCATATCTTTTTGAAGATACTTTGTCCTTGTAAACGAAAAACTATGTGGAAGCGCCACTCCTGTAGACAATTTTTTCTATTTTTATCTGCTGGACGAATACTGACTTGTGTGTTCTTGGGCCTCAATAATTGTTATTACGAATTATCATCACGGTGGACAAACTGTTTATTTTCGGATAAATTGTGCGAGGTTTGAGGAGCCTAACCCTTGCAAATATTGATGACCTACGCAGGTAAGTCACAGTTGGTGGTGAACTGCAACAAAGTTCTCCATTGTAACTGGTGAAGTATGTCAGGACGGTCATGTCATTGATAATAGCGGACAGCTGAAGGAATCTAGCTGACGCATACGACTCACATGCGCCTCGGGGGTCCATGACATTTAGCCAACTAGCCACATAAAATCCACGTCAATTGCAGCGGATGGCTAAGCAAACCCAGATAATGCACAAAACTAACATGTGGCTAAGTAGCCCACAATTTCTAATCAACTAGCTACATAGAATCCACGTCTACCACAGCGGACGGTTGAGCAAACTTAGGTTGCGCATACGACTAACACGCTGCCAATAGTTTTGCGTACTGTCTCTATGAAAATGGTGGGAAATTTTGTGGAAAAGCTGATTTTTTCGCATGTTTTCTTAAGTATTAAATTTGGAAATAACCAAAAAACGGCTTGGACAATAATCACGCCCATTACGTAGGAGAAAACTCAAATTGGAGGGGCCACTCGCGAAATGGATATGAAAAGTTCTTCTATGTTTGCGGCAAGCGTCCCGCCAGAGACGATAAATTCGTTAAGGCCAGTAAGATTTTTTGTTTTTCATGATGGTCATCATATGTTATGTTTGGATTTAGGCAGCGTTTGATCTCCACCGATATGCCGGGATACTAATGGTGCCGTCGGCTGAACCATTGGGTTTGTGGGAAGAACAAGAAGACGGCCACTGCTTCAAGTCTGAAAAGGTCTTATGGGTAACACGCTCGTCTGGAAAATATCAAAGATAAAGGGAACTATAAGCAAGCCATCAGGTCCGGTGTGATAGTCGCGGTAACGTCATCGCAACGCCATAGTCAGCTTTGTACACAGCCCCGTACATTAACATGCTGGATGAGCCGTTTCGGGTTGTCATTGTTATTGGCATATTCTTAGGTCCATTAAGGGTTCATGGTGGTTCACTGCTGCCATTCAAATGAGGCAATAAGACAGCCGTCTTTACATTAGGGAGTCAAAATAGGGAAAAATGTCAAAAAACATCTGCTAGAAAGCACTTTGATGTGAGCTAAAATGCTGCTTAAAATAACAGACAGTCAAAATCTATCACAATTCAAAACTAATTTAATGTGATGACACTGTTTGACTTCAAAAACGGCAATTGATATTTAGGTGAAGGTAGTAGGTGTGCGGTTGACGTGAATTGATGTAAGCATATGCGGTTATAGGGACGTGCATTGACTAGAATGTACGCAACTAAAAGAGCCTGGATTCTGCAGAGACATGATATCGGAGATATATGGTGATTTCGCTTGTCTTCGGGGTTAGTCGACCTCAGAATGAAGCTGTTACAGCCTAAATCAAATCGTGGACCTTTGCAAAACAAGTTGCCTCTGACTCGTCATATTACGTGTATTTCTTGACACTCGTAGCATCTTTTCCCATTTTATCAGTGGATTTTTCGATTCATAGAGGGTTTGCTTGGGACATACCACAACCAGGGCAAGCTCAAATCAAAATACGGCGTATGACAAAAGTTGCTTCTGTTTTAGTTTTCC